GCCCCAGGGCAGGGGACTGGCTGGCTCAGGGGGGCAGGGAATGGGGCACGGGGCCTTTCCCCTCTAGGGGCCGCCGGCTCCCATCCAACCACAGGCTGGCTCAGTGGGGCGGGGAATGGGACACGGGGCCTCTCCCCTCTAGGGGGCGCCGGCTCCGATCCGGCCCCAGGGCAGGGGATTGGCTGGCTCAGTGGGGCAGGGAATGGGACACGGGGCCTCTCCCCTCTAGAGGAGCCGATCCAGCCCCCGTGGGGGGCTCCGGTCTGCTCTCACCTCCAGGTCGCTGGGGCCGATCTGGCTCAGGTGGATGGTCGAGTGGGAGATGGACCCTTTCACCTCCAAGTCGCCGCTCCCCACGCGGCCCCAGCTCGGCAGCGGCTGCAGCTTGTTCCCCTCCAACGGCTGCTCGGAGGCCTGCGGGGGCAGCGAGCGGGGCAGGTCTCAGCGGGGAGGCCAGCGGCAGCAGCCGCGGGTCCTGGCCACCAGGACTGCACCCCTCGGGGGAGGCCCACGGGACACCCCCAGCACTGGGCAGTCCCCCACCCCCGATCCCAATGCGCGCCCAAGAACCCGCCACTGACTAGCCCCGACCTGCGTCTCCAGGGATAGTCGGCAGATCCGTCAATATCAGGGATGGAAAAGAAACCGGGGAACGGGAACCGGGGCCTTTCCCCCCTAGGGGGCGCTGGGTCTGATCCAGCCCCAGGCCGGGGGACTGGCTGGCTCAGTGAGGGGAGGAGAGACAGGGAACCGGACCCGGGGCGCTGGTCTCCCCTCCTCCCGGGCACAGAACTGGGCAGCTGGAAGATCAGAGCCACTCACCTTCTTCAAGTGTTTTTCCCGCCCGCCTTTCAACTGCAAGACAGTCAGACAAAGACACAGTTAAACAGAGCCAGGACTCCTGGGTTCTCTCCCCAGTTCGGGGAAGGGAGTGGGGACTAGTGGTTAGAGCATGGGGGACTGGGAGCCAGGACTCCTGGGTTCTCTCACAGCTCTGGGAGGGCAGTGGGGTCTGGTGGTTAGAGCAGGGGAGACTGGGAGCCAGGACTCCTGGGTTCTCTCCCCAGTTCGGGGAAGGGAGTGGGGTCTAGTGGTTAGAGCATGGGGGACTGGGAGCCAGGACTCCTGGGTTCTGTCCCCAGCTCTGGGACAGGAGTGGGATCTTGCAGTTGTGGGGCGGGGGTGGCTGGAGCCAGGACTCCTGGGTTCTCTCCCCGGTTCCGAGAAGTGGGGTCTCTGACCTTCTTCTTGGGCCCCGTGTCGGGGGGCGGCAGCTCCTTCTCCTTCTTGCGCTTGTGGGCGCTGGCGGGGGGCTCTTCTGTGGGGGGCGGGGCCGGCAGCAGCTTCTTCTTGTGCTGGGCCAGCTCGTCCGTCAGCTTCCACCGCACCCCGTCCTCCCCGTTGTCCGCCCGGCGCTTCCCGGCCCCGTCGCCGCCCGAGTCCTGGGGGCGAGAACGGGTGGGTGCCCCTCCCCCGGCATGGCCCCTCGCCCCCCACCCCCAGGAGCCCTGGACCACTGCGCCCCCACAAAAAACAGCCCCACCTTGTGGGCAGCCCCCCAGACAGCCCACACACCACACTGCAGCTACCCCCAGATCCCTGTCCCCGCTCCCTTCCTCCCCTCCCCCACAACTGCCCTTCCAGGTGCCCTGCCCTCCCCCCACCCAAACACCCCATGACCCCTTCCCCTCCACCCCCATCATCCCAACACCCCACAATTCTCCCAGCCGCCCCCTTGCAGGAAGGATCCTATACCAGGATGGGGAGCCCCCCATATTCCAGCCTAACCCCCTGAACTTCCAGGGGGCCCCCGCCCACTGACACTCAGAGCAGATGGCCCTTTGCTGTGGAAGCAGCGCCACCTGGTGGTCAACCAGCAACAGCAGCATGGGACACCCCCCCCAGAGGGGAAAGGCCCCAGGTCCCATCCCCAGCCCCCCACCGCAGCCAGCCAGCCCCTCGCCCTGAGGCCCATCCACGCCCCCTAGAGGGGAAAGGCCCTGAGTCCCATCTCCAGCCCCCCGCCCTGAGGCCCGCCCACCCACACCCCCTAGAGGGGAAAGGCCCCAAGTCTCATTCCCAGCCCCCCGGGGGCCGGGTACGTACCTTGTTGGATTTCCCTTCTCGTTTGCATTTGGGGCACTCCCAGCAGTTGGGAATCTCATTGTTAATCACAGCTTCCGCCTTCCCCATCTGGGTGGACGGACGGACAGACAGACAGACATTCAGCCACCCATCCTGGCCTCGACTCAGCCCCATCGCCGTCGAAGGGGGGTCACGGACGCCCTGCCCCACCACGTCAACAGCAAGGAGCGTTCTCCCCACTTCCCCATCGGGGAAACTGAGGCACGGAGCCAGGCAGTGACTTGTCCAAGTCACACAGGGAGTCTTGGGCAGAACTGAGGAGAGAACCCAGGAGTCCTGGCTCCCAGCCCCCGCTGCTCTCACCACTAGGCCAGTGGTTCTCAACCAGGGGTACGTGTACCCTTGAGGGTACACAGAGGACTTCTGAGGGTACATCAACTCATCTAGATATTTACCGAGTTTTACACCATGCTACATAAAAAGCACTTGTTCATACTGCTCTGTACACTACACACTGAAACGCAAGTACAATATTTCGATTCCAGTTGATTTAGTTTATAATGACATGGTAAAAAGGAGAGTCAGCAATTTTTCCGTACTAGTGGCTGTGACACTATTCGTATTTTGATGTCTGATTTTGTAAGTAAGTTGTTTTTAAGTGAGGTGCAACACAAATCAGCCTCCTGAAAGGGGGACAGGAGCCTGGAAAGGTTGAGAGCCACTGACCTAGACCCCACTCTCCCCTCAGACTCGGGGAGAGGACCCAGGAGTCCTGGCTCCCAGCCTCCCTGCTCTAACCGCCAGCCCCCGCTCCCCTCCCAGACCCAGGGAGAGAACCCAGGAGTCCTGGCTCCCAGCCCCCCTGCTCTAACCGCCAGCCCCCGCTCCCCTCCCAGACCCGGGGAGAGAACCCAGGAGTCCTGGCTCCCAGCCCCCCTGCTCTAACCGCCAGCCCCCACTCCCCTCCCAGAGCCAGGCACAGAACCCAGGAGTCCTGGCTCCCAGAGGGTGATGCTGGCCGGCCCGGGGGGGCGGGGGTGAGCTGGTTAACCCCTGCCTGGGCGGAGCGCTCACCTTGAGGCAGGCGGGATGGACGATCTCGTTGCAGATGGAGCACTCCATGAGCGACAGGTTGAACTTTTCCTCCTCCCCTTCCACCGTGTCCTCCTTCCCGGCCTCGCCACAAAGCAGGCACACGGCCGTGTGAGGCAGGACGGGCTGCGGGCGGCAAGGAGAGGCGCCGGGGCCAGTTGAGCGGCCGGCCCTGCAACCGGGGGGCCCCCCGAGAGAGAGATCAGGGACCCCTAGCGACCCCCTGCCCTGCGCTGAGATGCAGCTGCCTCTGGGGTGGGGCACAGGGGCCGGTTATATGGGGATCCCTCCCCCAGCACTGTGATGCAGCCACCTCTGGGGTGGGATGCAGGGGCTGGTTATCCGGGCCCCCCAGCCTGTGACGGGCTCCAGGGGCTGGTTATCCGGGGCCCCCGCCCGCCCCGCCGGGCCCCCAGCTCACCGCCGTGCATTGCCTCATGAGGCAGGACTGCTTCATGCGCCCCGGGCCCCCGAACTTCTTCATGTCCTTGCAGAAGTGGCACTCGCCGCACTCCGTCCGCTGGCAGGCCTTGCACTTACGGCACCGCGTCCGGCGCCGGCGAGATCCAGCCCCCGCCCCTTTGCTGGACGACATTGGCTACCTCCCGCTTCAGCTACTCTGCAGGCTGGGGGCAGGGAGACGCCGGGGGTGAGAGGGGAGCCGCGGGGATCGCACAACACCCCCCACTGAGCACCCGCGCAGGGGAAACTGAGGAACAGAGCCCGGCACAATGTCCCACAGGAAGCGATGGAGTAGAACCCAGGAGTCCTGGCCCCCAGCCCCCCTGTTCTAGTGCCGCCAGACCCCAACCCTCCCAGAGATGGGACAGAACCCAGGAGTCCTGGCCCCCAGCCCCCCTGTTCTAGTGCTCCCAGACCCCAGTCCCCTCCCAGAGCTGGGGAGAGAACCCAGGAGTCCTGGGGCTAGCCATGCTGTCCAGGATGACAGCCCCACCCGGAGGAGGGAGGGGATGGGACAGCAGGCGGCCCAGGGGATGGACCCCAGGCGCCCTGAAGAGCTCAGGCCGGGGGGCTGTGGAGCGGGACTCACGCTGGATACACAGAGCTGGGGCCACCAGGTACCCTCACCCACAGCTGGCATCAGATGCCCCCTCCCAGGGACCAGGCAGAGGAACCAAGAGGGCATAGCCAGCCACAGGACTCCTGGGTTCTCTCCCCAGCTCTGGGAGGGCAGTGGGGTCTCGCCCCTCCTAGTCTGACCACTAGACCCCACTCCCCTCCCATAACATCCCAGTCTGCGAAAGGTGAAGGGCTGGGAGCTCACAGCACCTCCCCCGGCCAAATACCTCGACAGTTAAAGGCTCCAGCTCGTACCCCTAAGATGCAGCTGCCTCTGGGGTGGGGCAACTGGGGAACAGCCGCACAGAGACACTGCAGAATCCCTCTGTCACCCAGGCACCTACAACAGACCCATCTAACCCGGTCTCCCGTCCCCCCAGCACTGGATCTGACAGTCACACGTTTAATCGGCCTGTATTTGACACTCAAGCACAGCATCAGGGAGTTCCACAGGTCAGCACAGCAAGTCAGGGCCCTACCCAATACCCCCTAGACATTAGGCGAAGGCCTGGCCCTAGTGCATGCCTGAGTCTGCAGAGAGCCTGAGACAAGATGGGTGTCGACTCTGAAACTTACTGACGGCAGATGAGCCACCAGCATTATTAACAGTTCCACTGCGGTCCCAGACCAAAGACAATTTCAGGGAGGTCTTGTGAGCGGCACAAGGGGACCGAGATGGGAGCCCCGATCGCGCCGGGCCCTGCACGGACCCCGACCGAGACCAGGGCCCC